GGTCTCGTGGGACTGGGCCCTCAGCCCCGGGGGTCTGCATAATGCCGGATAAGAGTGTCAGAATTGAGTTAAGTTGTAGGACACCCGGTCGACGTCTGCAGAGAACTGCTTGGCGAGGAAAACCCACACACTTGGTGTCTAAAGTGTTCAAAGTGCAGAAAACGTTGCTTTCTTTTACACCAGATGTTCTCGGGACGGGGAACCTGACTGACCGGTGTCCCTGCTTCCTCCATGCCCTATGGCCCTGCTTCAGAAGCTGTCCAAATGCCCAGCAAAGTCTTCCTTTCAACAGCACTTGACCTTAGGTTGATACCCGCCTGCCATATTTGTCATTCCGGGCTGGACGCCATGTGAGCTACCCCCTGCACTGGGCGCTCACCAGGCTCTGACCTGGAGAAGGCAGACCTGCAGCCTTTCCTGCGTTGTGTAGGTGAACACGTGCACATGCCTGTGAAGGCTGGTGTGCACACTTGTGAACGCACACTTTCTGGAAAGTCATGGATGTGTGTCACATGGATGTGACTCTGGGAGGATCCAGGCCCCCCAGCAAATGCTGAACGGTGGACCCCTGGAAGTGTCCCCTGACGTAGAAAATGTTGGGGTTCGGCACTGACAGTCAAGAAGGAATTCTTGAGATGTGTTTTGGTGCAAAAAGGTGGTTTTATTAAAACACGGGAATAGGAAATGTGGGCACAAAGAGCTGCCCTGGGGTCGTGAGGGGCGATGGATTATGTACTTTCAAGTTGGGAAGGGCTTAGAGATAGTATAAGTCTCTAAGAAATTTGGGAAGCAAGGTTTCCAGGACCTCGAGGGGGCCAGCTGTTGTTAGGAAAGGGTCATTACTACTGTCCAATAAATCCTAGTCATGAAACCCTTCAGGTGTAGATCAGCAGGCCATAAGCTTGGAGTGTGGTTGCCAACATGTATCGTGGGCAGGAAAAGACAAGGGAAGTTTCCAAAGGAGTTTTTACATGTTAAAGTAGACTTATAGGATCGGGGGTGTCAGGCTAAGGTTGCCTTTTGCCCTTAGCAAAGCGTCATCACGGAGGCAGCTGAGCTCCCAGAGGAAGGTCACTCTGCCAGTTTCAAGGACTTGTCAATGGGCT